GATGTATCTAGAGATCCACACTTCCAGACTTGATCTGGATGCTGGATCTGACTTGGATTTTCATGATGAGTGGCAGGATTAAGTTTTTAGAGCAGGTCCATTCCCATGTAACTTTAAGCCCTGCCTAGATAAACTTGCATGGATGATTTATTTTAGGGATGAAATCTACCAGGCATGGGTCCTGATTCTAGATTTGACATATTTTTTCTGCATGAGTCATTAGTTCTCTTAAGAAGGTTTGTTCCAACTTTACTATTAGCCCTATGCTGACCAAATTTGCATGGAAGGTGCATCTAAATATATACACTCCCAAACGTGGTTTGCTGAATCTTACCTATATTGTCTGGGTGATTGACAGAAAAAGGTTTTGGAGCAAGTCCTGAGTGATTCCCAAGTAAATAAAAATCCTACCAAACAATACCATAAATGTTGCAATTAAGGATGCATAATACCAGAATATTTGTATAGTGTGAGAAGTTGCCTAAGAAATAACATTCATGAAATGATTGAGCTGTATGTAATCCTTATTTACCCATGTTTTGTGATCTGCTCATCATAGCAGTGGCTTCTGATCAATAATATTATCTTTTTTTAGCTCATCTGAGCCGAAGGCTCAAGTGAGCTTTTCTGATCGAAATTGTTCGTTGTCTGTTGCCATTGTCATTGTTGTAAACTTTTCACAATTTCATCTTCTTTTCCAGAACTACTGGGCCAATTATAACCAAACTTGGCACAGACTATCCTTGGGTAAAGGGGATTCAAGTTTGTTCAAATGAAGGGCCATGACCAATTCCAACGGGAGATAATTACAATTTAGTGAAAAATTAATGGCATGGTTTAAAAATCTTCTTCTCAAGAACCACTGGGCAGGAAAGATGAAACTCATGTGGAATCATCCTCAGGTAGTGTAGATTCAAATTTGTTCAAATCATGGCCCCAGGGGGTAGGGTGGGGCAACAAAGGACGATCAGAGTTTTACATAGGAATGTATAGGAAAAATCTTTAAAAATCTTCTTCTCAAGAACAGCTAAGCCATGATTGGTCATATTTATATGGAGCATCCTCAGGTGGTGTAGATTCAAGTTTGTTCAAATCATGACCCCCTGGGATAGGGTGGGGCCACAATGGATGATCAAGGTTTTACACTGGAGTATATAAGAAAAATTTTCAAAAATCTTCTTCTCAAGAACAGCAAAGCCATGATTGGTCATATTTATATGGAAGCATCCTCAGGTGGTCTAGATTCAAGTTTGTTCAAATCATGACCCCCAAGGGTAGGGTGGGGCCACAATGGACGATCAAAGTTTTACATAGGAATATATAGGAAAAATCTTCTCAAGGACAAGAAAACTATGATTGATTATTAACTATTCGGAAGTATCCTAAGGTAGTGTAGATTCATGTTTGATAAAAATCATGACCTGAGGATAGGGTGGGGCCACAATTGATGATTAAAGTTATGCTTAGGAATACATAGGAAATTTTTTAAAAAAAAAATCTTCTTCTCAAGAATAGCAAAGCTATGATAGGGTGGGGCCACAATTAATGATTAAAGTTATGCTTAGGAATACATAGGAAATTTAAAAAAAAAAATCTTCTTCTCAAGAATAGGAAAGCTATGATTGGTCATATTTATATGAAAGCATCCTAAGATTGTGTAGATTCGGATTTTTTCAAATCATGACCCCCGGGGGAAGGGTGGTACCATAACAAGAGGACCATGGGCCACATCGCTCACCTGAGCACATTGGCAAGGCAAAAGCACAAATTAGTTCAGTATTGAAAAGATTAAAGGGGGGGGGGGGCTTGAATTTTAAACTTCCTGATGATGCTTCCATGTCAATATAACAAATGGCTTTGTTGTACTTGAGAAGTTTTTAAAAAAAATTTCCCATATATTCCTTTGTAAAAATTTGATCCCCCATTGTGGCTCCTCCCTATCCCAGGGGTCATCATTTGAACAAACTTGAATCTACACTACCTGAGGATGCTTCCATATCAAAATGACTAAACATGATTTTCAGTTCTTGAGAAGAAGATATTTTCCTATATGTTCCTATGTAAAATTTTCGATCCCCCATTATGCCCCATCCCTATCCCCAGGGGGTCATGATTTGAACATACTTGAATCTACACTACCTGAGGATACTTCCACATAAATATGATCAATCAGGGCTTTGCTGTTCCTGAGAAGAAGATTTTTAAAGATATTTTCCTATATATCTCTATGTAAAACTTTGATCCTCCATTGTGGCCCCGCCCTACCCCTGGGGGGTCAAGACTTGAATAAATTTGAATCTACACTACCTGAGGATGCTTCCATATAAAATATGACCAATTTGGGCTTTGCTGTTCTTGAGAAGAAGATTTTTAAAAATTTTTCCTATATATTTCTATGTAAAACTTTGATCCTCCATTGTGGCCCCGCCCTACCCCAGGGGGTCATGATTTGAACAAACTTGATTCTACACTACCTGAGGATGCTTCTATATTAATATGACTCATTATGGCTTTGCTGTTCTTGAGAAGAAGATTTTTAAAGGTTTTTCCTATATATTTCTATGTAAAACTTTGATCCTCCATTGTGGCCCCGCCCTACCCCAGGGGGTCATGATTTGAACAAACTTGAATCTACACTACCTGAGGATGCTTCCATATAAATATGACTCAACATGTCTTTGCTGTTCTTGAGAAGAAGATTTTTAAAGGTTTTTCCTATATATTTCTATGTAAAACTTTGATCATCCTTTGTGGCCCCGCCCTACCCCTGGGGGTCATGATTTGAACATACTTGAATCTACACTACCTGAGGATGCTTCCATATAAATATGACTCAACATGTCTTTTCTGTTCTTGAGAAGAAGATTTTTAAAGGTTTTTCCTATATATTTCTATGTAAAACTTTGATCCTCCATTGTGGCCCCGCCCTACCCCCGGGGGTCATGATTTGAACAAACTTGAATCTACACTACCTGAGGATGCTTCCATATAAATATGACTCATTATGGCTTTGCTGTTCTTGAGAAGAAGATTTTTAAATGTTTTTCCTATATATTTCTATGTAAAACTTTGATCCTCCATTGTGGCCCCGCCCTACCCCCGGGGGTCATGATTTGAACAAACTTGAATCTACACTACCTGAGGATGCTTCCACATGAGTTTCATCTTTCCTGGCCCTGTGGTTCTTGAGAAGAAGATTTTTAAAAGATGCTATTAATTTTTCACTAATTCTTTATTATCTCACCTTGAAAAAGGGCGTGGCCCTTCATTTTAACAAATTTGAATCCCCTTCACCCAAGGATACTTTGTGGCAAGTTTGGTTGAAATTGGCCCAGTGGTTCTTGAGAAGAAGTCGAAAATGTTAAAAGTTTACAGACAGACAGACAGACAGACAGACAGACAGACAGACGGACAGACAGACAGACGGACGCCGGACAAAAAGTGATCAGAAAAGCTCACTTGAGCCTTCGGCTCAGGTGAGCTAATAAAAGTTCAAACTTGTAGGGAAAAAAGTCACAGTTAGTCAAAGAAATATGTAAGCATCTTTAGTTAGTGTAGATTCAATTTTGTTCAAATCATAACCCCCCCCTCCCTTTAAGAGGTAGGTCGGGACCACTTATGCATTAAAGCTTTTCAATACGGAACTGATTTTTGCTTTTTTTCTAGCCCCAGTGCTCAAATGAGCGATGTGGCCCATGAGCCTCTTGTTTAATCTTAATTATAATTCTCTGGACACATTAAGGGTTTAAGGAATATGAAGTTAATAATTTTGAAACAAAATCTTTTCTCCAAATGCAGGGGCGTAGCTTGACTTTAAATTCTAGTGAGGCAAAACCATACATGTAGCAGCAAGAGGTCTCAGGGGCCGCCTTAAGCCCCCAGCAGGTTCCGGGTGGTGTCATGGGGGGGGGGGGGTACTCCGACAGAAAATGGAGTTGGGGGTTTTAAAATGCAATGAAATTTCATTTACTGTACTGGTTTCTTCAAGACTTCAGCATGATACTACATATTGTAAAAGAATGTAAAAGAGTTAATAAATATGTTTACTAAAAGTTTTGAATCATTTAAAGGTGAAAGCTCATCTTATTAAACTTTGCTTTCATTTCTTTAAAACTTCAATTCAATATTATAGAACTGCTTAAAATGTTAAAAGAAATGCCATTAATTTTACGTATTATCTGCAATGTATTTTTGATCATGGGAAGGGGTGGTGGTGGTGAAAAATCTAGTGAGGCTGTTGCCTCATTGCCACAATGGAAGCTACGCCCCTGAAATGTTGTAATACATTACAGACACATGCAGTTATTTAAGAGCAGGTTAGACATTCACATTATGTAAGCCTTGCACTACACCATTATAATATGCATGGTTAAAATGAGAAGAGAACACATGGACTCCTTTTTGTGTTTTAAGTTTATTACAAAATGCTGATCAAAATTCAAATATTTCCAGCAAACATTACACTTAAAATATCATCTTCAGAGAAATTGTTAATGCCGCTTTTAACCTCTCTCTCTTTCTCTCTCCCTCTCTCTTTCTCTCAAGTACATTGGCACATCATGACTAAAGGAAGAGAAAATATTTTTGTATCACAATAATAAACAAGTTCACGCTAGTGTTTGTTGCAGAACACATGACCTTAATGTTAAATATCGCAGCTAAAATAAAGAAATGTCAAATTTAATAATTTCAGGCTTACTATATGTAAACATATTTATTACATGTAATTATTTAATATAAATTTACATGTAATTAAAATACAGGATAATAAAATCTAATAAAAATTTACTATAATGAACACAAAAGCATAAACAATAATTTAAAACAGCTAGGTCTGAAAAAAAAACCCACAAATTATTTGATAAAAAATATTTACTTCATTTTATATTACTACTTGTATCTACAAAATCTATGTTGTAACCTTAAAATATCAATTATATAATTTTTATTTTTCAGAAGTACATGTACTTGAAACTTTGTACATTCAAATTTGAATTAAGTACATAGACAATCACAATCAAAATATGTATTCAAACACACTATTGCAGTTGAACCTTTTATCTACCTATAAAAATTTTAAGATAAAAATTGTCATAATTAAACAAATATAAACAAAGCATGCTTGAGAAATATGCATGTCTGCATTATTAAGTTGCTACATGCATAGATACATGTATATACATGTACATGTATAAATTTACAGAGAATTGAAATGAAGTGCATGATCATGCATTTCTATTTTTTTTTTTTTAAAGTTCTATTTATCTATACTTTGTGATGAGCTGCAGGCAGCTACTGGTGCAATCTTTTATTATTTTTTTTCCTTTTCAGTGAGCTGGTGCTACAGCCGGTTCTGTTTGAAGATAAGACTGGTTATGGATAAAGTACTTCTGTGATGATTTCAGAGTTATTAGAATAGGCTCCTGGTAGCTTGGCATCAGAGCATCAATAGCACTAGGAAATGGATTTATATACAAGGTCTTCATTGGGAGGTTTATGCTTGGGGTAAAGTGAGAAATGTCCCCTGGTGCCGGCTGGTTTCCTCGAGCTGTGGTAGCTGGATAACGGTAATCTGTAAAAGAATATAGTCCATTTAACAAAAACAAGAAATCTCACAAATCCTCTACATGGACCTTAAGGACCCTCTAAAATTAGGGTTTAATAATTGAGTTAATCTATTTCATTTTCAACATACATGTAAGGTACCTGAGCCATTTACCCTAGGCCTAGGAAAAATGTTCCAAAACTAAAGAAGTGATGAATGGAAATCACAATTGCTTACTTAATGGGAAAAATTCAAATACTGAATAATGGAAAAATATTTTGGCTTCAACCTAGGTTCAATAAGTTATCAATATGACTAACATGGTTTTCATTCTCTGGAGAAGATCTTTTTAAGATTATATGCATTTTGTAAAATTTGATCTCTGATTTCAGCCCTATCCAAACCCCAGGACCCATAATTTGAAAAATAAAAACATGAATCCACATGAAAGGATTGATTCCCTAGGCCTTGTAACACTCTGATCCCCTATTCCCTTTTACTCTTACATAAATCTTTGATCACCTACTGTCGCCTTACCATACCTCCAGCGACCCTGAATTGAACAGACTGGAATATACACTATCTGAGGATGCTTGCACAATATGACCAACCATATGGCCCTTCTGATCTTCATCAGAAGATTTCCAAAGATTTTTTTTCCTATACAACCCCTTCTGAAAAAACTTGAATCTACACTATATTAGGATACCTGCCTAAAGTGTATTAGTACAGTGAAACTCGTTTATTATGAACATGGATATAGTGAATTCACGGATACACTGAGGTTTTTTGAAATCCCGGGCAAAATTCTTAACAATTACTTTAAAAAATGTTACAGATATAATGAATTTGGGTATAGCAAATTTAGTGACATAGCAAACAGATTTTTTGTCCCCTTGCACAGAAATTCTTATCTTTTGGTAACCGTGGCAACACCATTCATTGAAATCAAAGATCAATATAAAGAATTATGTATCTTAGTGTAATCTACTTGTGTGCCAAGTTATATTGAAATCAGACCAAATCTGTAGGAGGTGGAGTAGCATTTTGAAAGTATTTCACAGAAATTTCTATTTTCAGCAACCATGGCAACACTATTCATTGAAATCAAAAACTGATATAAAGAATTATGTATCTTAGTGTAATCTATTTGTGTGCCAAGTTATATTGAAACCAGACCACAACTGTAGGAGGAGTAGTGTTTTGAAAGTATTTCACAGAAATTTTTATTTTTAGTAACAATGGCAACAATGTTCATTGAAATCAAAAACTCATATACAGAATTATGTTTCTTAATGTAGTCTACTTATGTGCCAAGTTATATTGAAATCAGACCAATACTGTAGGAGGAGTAGCATTTTGAAAGTATTTCTGGAAATTCCTATTTTTAGTAACCATGGCAACATTGTTCATCAAAATCAAAAACTGATAAAAAGAAGTTATGTATCTTAGTGTAATCTCCTTGTGTGCCAAGTTTTATTGAAATCAAACCAAAATTGTAGGAGGAGAAGCATTTTGAAAGTAATTCACAGAATAAATTGACCAAGTGGTGCAGAATTTCAAAAATCTGGTAAAAATACTCTTGCTTATTACAAATTTATACACTCTGTTCGCATCCTAGATGCTGGGGAGCAGAGAAGAATATTTTCAAAGAAATAATGCATTTTTACTATAGATTCAACATACCCCACCCCGACACCAAAGCCCCTGACTCAGGGGCTAAGAAATTATCAGTTTTGGAAGAGGCACTCTTGCTTATTATAACCATGCATTTGCCATGATTGCAGAGAAGAAGATTTTCAAAGATATAATGCATTTTTCACTATACATTCTTAAGAACCCATCACCAACACCAAAACCTATGGTCCAGGCCTTGCTCATCATAACTTGTAACCTGTTCCTGGGGCCACAAATTTCACAATTTGGGAAGATGCACCCTTAGTCATCATAATATAAAAGGGGAGAAAAAGAAGATTTTTAAAGAATTTATCTGTTTACATGTAGTGTGTGTGTGTGTGTGTGTGTGTGTGTGTGTGGGGAGGGGGGGGGGGGGGTTAGGGACCATGAAATTCAAAATTTATTTACCCCTTCACCCATTGCTTTTATATGCCAAAATTGGTTAAGCGGTCCAAGAGAAGAAGCTGAAAATGTTAAAAAGTTTATGACTGACGCATGTAATGCACGACAACTGACAAAAACAGATAGCAATAACTCAGGTGACCTAAAATTCATATGAAAGATCAATACTGTCTGCATGAACGGCAGAATCATTTAAGAACAAGACACTCAAATATCATGTAGTAACATGTAGCCCCATATCAGGTTATTTGTCATAATGGATTGACATGTATTATAATTTAAGGATTTTTCTGTGAGACTAGCTGTTTAATAAAAGGTTGATAAGGACATGTAAACCATTTACTCCAACCACCTTACCATCCCCACATGTCTAAAACTTAACAGTAATATATTTAAGTTCATAAATATATATAGCCATATCTTTATATACTCTGCATTTTTTTCTAAATTCTATTGTCCATGCAAGTCCCACCTATTGATGAATCATGACACACTTTTGTTCATAAAAGCAAAAATTTGTATGTCAGACTTTTTATTTCTTGGGCAACATGTAATTGACTTTGGAAATACCAAGTAATAGGTATGCTTCATCAAATGGTATAGACATATTTATTTTCATTTGTAAGGGTCATTAGAAATGGTGTAGTCATTAAATATTTGAAACAAGAAGTCTGTGAGCCAATACTCACTAGTAATACCCCCTGCTCTGATATGAATAATTACACTCTCATGTGAATATACACAAGTTCAGTTAAAGAAATACAGAAAGTTGACATTGGATTCGTACAAAAATAAATCCCACCATATGGCATGCATAAACAATGAGTGTGCTAAAATATCAAGCATCTGCAATGAGTAGTTGCTGAGAAATTAAACTGCAATGAAAATTTGTTATGGAAATTTAGTACGGACAGATGCACAGATAAACAGGAAGTTGACATCAGATTCAAAAATGAATCCCACCATATGGCATGCCTAAACAGAGTGTGCTAAAATTTCAAGCATCTGCGATGAGTAGTTGCTGAGATAACTGCGATGAAAATTTGTTACAGACAGACAAACACACAAGGGTAAAACAGTATACCCCCTTCTCCTTCAGAGCAGGGGTATAAATATTGTAAATATTTAAAAATATGGCAAACCCTATTTAAAAAAGGATGCAACATGTGTAAGGTATGATTCTTACCAGCTCTTGAGTTACGTACTGTATCCAAAGAACTAAATTTTTAATACTAAAGCAAATAAGTTAAGCTACTAATATTTTTCAGATTGTTCAAGTTTTACTTTATCAGGGAAAAAAAAATTCCTACATTAGTTTGGCAGATCACATGGAGCATATATCAGTTGTTAATTGATACTGTTTTTCTTCTGTTTATTTTTTTACATTTATATGCACACCCAATCTGAATTAATTGTGACAAGGTGAAGTGCATAAAAGAAAAAAAAAGACAAAGAAATAATCACTGCTAATAAAGCACCTATTCTTATACCAGGTTGTAATTTTGATAAACAAACAGTATTTGATGTTGTCCACTTACCAACATGTAAATTAGTCTCCCTCTCAGGTCTGCATGTACTTGTGTGGGTTTCACCCAGACGAACAAGGGCTGGTTTGCTGCAAATAAGATTTTAAAAAAATTTCAGCTGGGAAAGTTTCAAAATAATCTTTAGAAGCAATGTACTGTCAAAATATGAATTTTTTTTTTTAAATTTCTTGCATATTTTGCAGGCCCATAGGAAGCAAATTCAATTGGGAGGGATGGGGGGGGGGGCACAGCCATACATTTTCAGTTGACAGTTCAGGGGGCACTACCAAAAATTTCCTGACAAGCAAAAAAAAAAAAAAAAAGAAAAAAAGAAAGGTCATCAGACGTTTTGATTGAGGGGGCACAAGCATATAGTATCTATGTTTCCTATAGTAATCTATATACCGGTTCCTACGGCCATATTTTGAAATGTTTAAAAAGATGCATCAATCCCTATTTCAACTTGTGTATACATAGATTTCAGATCAAATGCAGAAAATGACACCTATATGAACTAAAGGTGTATCTCTTCAGAGTTCATTGATCTCAAAAATTATTCATACATTATCATATTTTACCATTGGATCTTCCAATCAATAATATGGCCTATGGTGAACAATTGGGATTTTATATTCCCGCAATCTAATACAAAAACATGACCTCATGGAAATAAAATAATTTAAAGATTGTGTATTTCATTTAATATTTAAGAAATCTGCCATCACCATGCACTTTTTACATACTGTGGTATTTTGGGCAGCACAAGCACAGTGTTTTTAGCCTGCACCACATTTTCTTTGGATCCGGGTGGTTTCCTGCCTCCACGCTTCAGTGAATCCAGTGCTTTTTCCATCATCATATCACAGAAATAATTAATTGCATCAATGTAAGTGGCAGAATCGATGAGTGCAGGATCAGGTGGTTTATCAAATGTGACTGAAAATCATAATTTAGACATTATTAAACAGGCCGGGGTACATTAATCTTTCATATACATGCATGTACGAGGGTTGTTCGGAAAGTTGACATGGACTACCGTCATAACTTTATTTCACTTAACGTCATATTATATATCCAAATTTGGAAAAAATATTTCAACTTACAGTACATTCAAATGATGTATATTAAATTTTTTTGAAATATCATGGTTTATTTCAAACTTATTTAGAGTTAAAAAATGCGAAAATCAGATCACGGAGCAGGTCAAAATTTTGTAATTTACAATCAAGACACTGAATAATGTCTGTAGTCATATCTTCTGTAAAATGACACAAAAACAGAGAAATTCTACATGTTCAAATTAGAAATTGTTTCATTGTTTCTAATTCCAAATTATGACTTAATATTTTGCTTCATTGAAAAGAAATCAGTTTCAGAAGATAGGTATACATGTATTTCTTATTGAAAAAGGCAAAAAAGATGACGTCATAGAACGTCATGGAGCAGCAGTTAACCATACAATGTTGTGTTGTACTCTGGAAAAGTTAAAAAAAAAACTCTGAAAATGCTGGAGGAAGAAGGAAATATATCAAAAGCGAGCCATGCATGTGTGTTAAGTGGTACAAGTAAATATCAAATACAAGTATTTGAATGATAGACTACTCTTCTTAGAAGATGGTGATCTGTGAGAAAACAGATTATCTGTAAAATTCTTATCAAAAACATTGAAAAGTTAGAAATGTCAAGCTAAGAGTTTGGTGCTTCACAGATGCTGATCTTGTGAAAGCACACTTTTGCAGTGAAAAAAATATAACATTGACAAACAAAATGATGCTACTGGAACAATTGTTAGCAAAATAGATTTCAATTGATGGAGAAATGATTTTAATGAGTGCACTGGTATTGGGCAACACTGTGTAAAATGTATAGGGATAGTATTTTTGAGAACCTCATGTCGGTATGTTTTTGATGTTACAGTGTTGTTGAGTTTGCTCCATGGTTACAAAACGTGTTGATTCTAATATTAAATAACATGAATTCTATTAAATCGCATAGAAAAACTTCACACTTAAACAAAATAAATATTTTTTACATATGATAAAGTGCTCATTTTAAATTTCTTGAAGATAGTATAACGAAGATTTGTATTGGTCCACAAACTTTTCGAATAACCCTCGTATTTTTGATAAAACACACAAAAAAAAATCCTTCGTGAATATGCTCTTTTATTGCTATATGGTATGAATGTAGGCTGAAGATATGAAAGCTAGACACTATGCAGATATGAATATAAGATGGATTCAAAACAAGTAATTCCTTGTCAATTAATGCATGTCTGCACATGATAGCTGCATTAACCTTTAAATTTCATTAAATGTCAATTTCAGACATTACAAATTAAGATCTCAAAATTTGTACATATTGAATTTACAAATGGTTTATAATTGCCAGGGACAGCAGAGATTTCTTTGTTATACAGTGTATCAGTAATTACATCCTGTTAATGATTAATTAATTACCATTTTCTAGCACACAAAATTAATATGCCCCGCAATAAAGAAAGGGCATATATCAAATTAGCTTAAAAATGAGCTTTTCTATCTTGATTATACTGGAAATTCCAATGGCCTTAATCTTGTTGAAAAGTATAAAATGGTTGAAGGTTAAATCATAGCACCTCTAGACCATCCACAGTCTATAAGCATTGAAATGTCATGGCCTATAGAGCATTTAGTGACTTTGAGTCATGTGATCTTGACCTTATACAACCAACCTCTGAATCATGACTAGACTTCTTGGTGACAATAAACTTTTGTTCCAAGAATGATTTCCTGTTGCTATGGCCCCCAATACAAAGTTTTTTTCTTTAAAAATTGCAAATTTTCCAGACCTTTAGAATTTGACACTTCTGAACTCTGTAACTTTTACCATTGTTTATATATTGTATGATTAAATAAACTACCCTAAGGGAAAATGTGATCTTCTGAGGAAATTTCATTTAAGGTTCATTGATACTCTGATAAGAGAGGTAACTCTTAATAACATAAATGTCTATTATTCCTTTATAATTTGCAAGATGAAATGTCTTTTTTGTCAAATTTTGCCTCGTATGCTATGCTATAATTAGGTCTTTCCACCTTTCTGTGGAAAGACCTCTTGAAATGCTTATGTTTATTATTAGGGCTTTCCACCTTTCTGTGGAAAGTCCTATTGAAATTGTTCTGTTTATTATTAGGTCTTTCCACCTTTCTGTGGAAAGACCTCTTGAAATGCTTATGTTTATTAGGTCTTTCCACCTTTCTGTGGAAAGACCTATTGAAATTGTTCTGTTTATTATTATTATTATTATTATTATTTTTATTATTTTTCCGCCGAATGGTTTTTTGTTTTAAAAGTTATCGAAAAGATTTATGGTTCATAAGAATGCACTTCGCAAAAGATTTTTACAGTTGACCCCGCGTATATGAACTTTGACCCCTCAAGGAGTTACAACCCCTTTCGCAATAAAAGCTTGTTATCGCTACTCCTTCGAAACCCTAAACCGTAGAGATACGAAACCTTCACTAATGTCTTTGACTAATTTAGTAGACTCTTCAATCTATTCAGTGCGAAAGGTTGCATAAACCCCTTTAATTAGTTATTGCCCCTGAAAGTTTTTGATGGTTACGAATAATTAATTTTTTTCTAAACGATTAATCGTAGAGACATGGGACCAATAGCATTGGCATGTGTGACCTTTGACCTTGAAATTTACATAGAGGTCAAAGGTCAAGGTCATTCAAAATATGAGAAAATTAGCTTTTTTAATATCTCTTTTGTCTTTCAACATATACTGAATATCTTTGCATCTATAATATGTCCTTCTAAAACTATTTCAAAGATTTCATTCTTGTCCCCCGAGCTTGACCCATTCAAAAGTTGTCACCCCTTGTGCAACAAAACCTTGTTATCGCTACTCCTCCGAAACCGTAAACCGTAGAGATTCCAAACCTTCATCAGTGTCTTCGACTCATTTAGTACTCTCTTCATTCTATCATTGCGAAAGCATTCTTTGGTCCCTTGTATGAGTTACTGCCCCTGAAAGTTTACGCTGCTTACATTGAATGAACTTTTTTTTTAAACGGTGTATCCTAGAGACATGGGATCAACTGCATGGGCATGTTCGACCTTTGACCTTGAAATATAGGTCAAGGTCAAAGGTCAAGGTCATTTAAAAACATTAGAAATTCCTTATATATGTGTAAAATATGGCAATTTACCAAATGACCTTGAACTTTGACCTTGACCTTTCACCTTGACCTTGGGTCAAATGGAAAAGTAAGGACATGCATTCAGCTCCAGTATCAGGTAAAAACATAGAAAAGTAAAGATTTCCCTCTTCTTTTTTTTTTAATGACCTTGACCTTTGACCTTGACTCAAAGGTCACAATAAGGCTTAAGGATGTGGAAGTAGTTACAATTCGTAGTTTAAAAGAGGCATAAAATAAATAATTCACCCCCCCCCCTCCCTTCTTAAAAAAAAAAAAAAATCACATCAACAACAATGTAGAATGTTACTCTAGAATTCAAACCAGACCTCGGATCGACACCAGATTTGGTACAAATGTAGTATAGACCTCAGAGAAACTTTCTGGAGAGTTTTACGGTGAGTCTTATAAGTTTATAGAAGTCATGAAGTTTCACGGCAAAAACTACAAGTTCTGTTGTGTTTGAAATTTAAGTGCAGGTGAACGAAGAAATGATCTAAACCTTTTATCGGCTATTTCTTCAGATGTCTTTAGTGGCATTTAATTCTCCTGATATGATACGACATTTTAATACCAAGCATTCTCTCTTTCTTTTACATTTGGAATTTATTTGATTTTTATTTAGAATTAATCAGTTTCCAGAAATAGCGATTTTCGGTATATTAAAAACAATTCTCGCTTTCAATGTCGTGTTTCCCTTCTAAAAATGCATGTTGGGAATTTAATTTGGGCTACACATATTTAATTTAACCCAAAGAAATGCTTATTTAAATGTTTCATATTTATTTCAGGATATTCAGTCAGAAATGTTAAAATCCGAACCCGATCTTTTAAGCTTACAACGAAGCTATTTACAAAAAATTCAGCATGCTTACAATATCGATGAATCGGGCTACAGTCCATTAATACATTTTCATTAGGGAACAGTGTTAATGTTTTCTTACGCAGCCCGTCCCTTATTATTTAATATACTGCTTGCAAATTCAGGAACTATTTCCTTTTACGGAACTTCTTTCTTCCCCTACCGATTCTAAAAATACGCTTGCAATTATTCTATAGTCCTAAACATTTTAACGCACTATTGTTATTGGAGTGCGTGGCCTAATGGTTATCGCACCTGCCTTTCAAACCAAGGGTTTTGAGTTCGATCCCAGCTGGAGGAGTTTTTTTTTTTTTTTTTTTTTTTTTTTTTCTGTTGCATTTATTGCATTTTTCTTCATTTTTTTTCAGCCCAAATGACACGGAAACACTTAAAAAGGTGGAAAGACCTCTAATTGTTCTCTGAACAATTAGTTTACTAGTTATTATTATTATTATTATTATTATTATTTTTCTTCCCGGACTTTTGAAACTAGAGATACAGAACCTTCACCAATGTCTTTGACTACTTGAGAGGACCTTTCAATCTATTCATTGCGAAATGATTTGTCGATCCCTTCAATGAGTTATTGCCCCTGAAAGTTTATGAAGTTTATGTATAATGAAAAATTTTCAAAACGATAAGTCGTAGAGACATGGAACCAACTGCATTAGAATCTTTGACCTCAGACCTTAAAATTTTTGTCAAGGTCAAAGGTCAAGGTCATGCAAAACATGAGAAATTAAGCTCTTTTTATATCTCTTTTGTCTTTCAACCTATACTATATATCTTTACATCTTTGATATGTCCTCTTAAAACTATTTCACAGATTTTATACATGTCCCCTAAGATTAATCCCTTTAAAAGTTATTGCCCCTTTCACTAAAAAC